CCCCCCCTTTGTCAGGCTTGCATGTAAACTGCAGCTTCCATGTTCCCTCAGTTTTCCCCCATGATTATCTCCTGCTGCATGTCCTGACTTCTCTTGTAAATTCACTCTGTATTGCTGCCATTTATAAAAAAGCTTCAATCCCCAAAAAAAAGCAGCATCTTGAGATCCTGCTCCTCTAAAAGCCCCTGCCCAGTTGGCAGCAGGGAGTTCAGCACCACTGTGCCACATACCCAAAAGCTCTGGATGAGCAGAGTCCTCCACAATTACTAGGAACAAAGCCTCAGGCCCACAGTACCTGTTCTTCTACTCTTACCACCACTGGAAGACTGTACAAATGCAGAACAGGTCTGAGGCAGCACACACTTCAACCTCATGCTAATGATGCAGCAGGTCAGCACTTATCCCTTAGGATTCACTCCTCCAGCTAGGCAGGAACAGTCTGGCAGAGGTGCAGTAGCACTCATTAATGAAGGATTGCTCCCTGACCTATTCAGCACTTTCATTTCACACTCATTCCAAGCAGCCTATGTCTGCACTACAGATTATCAGGCTGTTACTGTCTCATCTGCCTAATGAGAGCAGGAGCAAAATGGGACTGGAGCATTCCATAGATTCTTATTAAACTGATTTAGATCCATATTCAAAACCAAGTGCTACAAAACAGAGCGAGGCATATCATGGATTCTCACCCTGGAAATCTAGATTTAAACCTGCACATGCCTATCACTGAGCACAAAAACCTGTACCTTCCCAAGAGCAGCAACATCCTTGGTCAGTCTGAGAAATAGCCAAAGCCCTTCAATACCTACCTGGGAATTTTGAAAAATAAGCCTTCCTGTATTTGCTTCCATTCTCATCATTCCAGAAGTGTGTAGGCTGACAGGGAATAGGCTTGGTACAAACCAGCTCTCCACTTTCACCCCAAACTGGTTTTCCTGTTTACAAAGAAAGGGTTTTTTTCTGAATTTCCCTTCTGTAAACAATAAAGTACTACAGCAAAGAGCATCCACAACAATTACATGCCAGATGCTGACAGAGGTGAGATGACCTGTGACTCGTGGTCTTAACAGCTTGTGTTCAAGTCCAAAACTCATCCCTATCTTAACCTCAGTAATTTCAAGAGCGTTACACCACAAGGTGGAAGCCAACCCAGCATCCACAGCAGAGCTAATCAGGGTGCACATCAGAGGCTAGAATTTGGCCTTGATGGTTTTAGCAGAGTAATGGAAGAAGAGAACCTTTTTATACATTGACTAGCTTCACCAGAGTCCTGCACAATCCAGATCAGATGGATCCAGATGCAGGTTTTGTGGAACGTGTTTCTGAAGTGAAATCACCCATTTAACAGCTGAATGTTTGCCCATCTGATGAATGAAGTTTAAGGTCATATAGCTACTGTACTTCATGAGTGTGCACAATATTTTGGGTAATATCTACCTTCATCATTCCATGCTTCTACAGCCATTCCAAGATTTCTGGCCTGAATTTCTCCTTTGTAAACAGGAATTGTAACATTATGACCCATGAAACATGAGATTATATCCGTCCCACCTGTAATAAAAGAAGGCTATTTAGAATACAGTACTTTTCAGAAAGAGCTAAACTGAAAACTACCCAAGAACTCTGGAACAGCATGCTGCCACCTTTGCCAAATGCTTCTGAGCCACATTAAACACCATAGAATAGACAGTGTTATTTAGGATGCTAAAGGACTTTTATTAAAAGGTTTTTCTTACTTTGTCTTCTTATCTGTATATGCCCTTCGTGTAGAGATACTCCTAAAAGCATAACTTCTCCTTCTAACAGTTTCTTTCATCTCATTTAAGGAAATTTCCATTTATATGACAGTAAGAAAAGAAACAGGCCCAAGTTTATAGACTTAGATATTTAAGATCATTTAGAAATGTTTTCTTGTTTGTTTTCCTTAGCTTAAGGTAACCAGTCAAGCTATTCCACTGTATTTACTTTGCTGCTGTATCTTGTTCTCATGAGCTGGGGGAAGCCATGCTTGTAGGATGAACAGTCATCTTAATAAAAATAGATATTGTCAGAGTGCTAACTTCCCAGGAATATTTCTAGTCTTTCTAGGACTTCAAGGAATTAGAATTCTAAGACAAATCAGTCACATCAGCTTTACCCAAAAATAGTCTTCCACATTTAAGACTATAAATGCCTATAGTAGCAAGTTCAAGATTCAGCACTACTCTTACTAAGACTGGAGTTACAGTCAACTTCAGTAGCAGAATAGTCAAACTTGAAAAAAATCAAACTAAACTGAGTTAAAAAGCCCTTTGAAAAAGTCAGTCCTTGTTACAAAGCAGAACAAGGAGTTCTGTGGCAGACCTTATGTGAATATAAGTTGCCTCAGCTAGCACTCCTCACAACAAACTGCACAGTAGGTGGGCTTGATATTTTTTCTAATTATGTAATTCACAAAAAAAAATCTGTCTGCAGTGCCAATTACTTGGCACAAAAGAATTGAAATGGGAACATGGAAAAACCTCTCAAAAAGGTATTTTCTGCTAAAGTCAGCTATTTGCAGAACAGTATGTTCTGCAGGTTAATAGACTCTTTTCTTGATCTCACTCTGCTACCCCTAAGGACAGCCAGTCAAAATAAATGATCCTGCTTATAAAAAAAAAACTAAAACCCAAAACATCCACTATGTCAGAAACATTCCACTTAAAAGCCTTTGAGTGTAGGAGCTTCATTATAGCACACTGAATTATGCAGAAAATATCTTCACCAAAAAGACAATTCCAGTTTAACTCACCAAGCCTGAACAAGCCAAGGCACAAGCTCCCCAAATATACAGCAGCAAACAAGCAAGAAGGAAATTGCACAGGCAATGAGCAGAATTAGGAGGCGTGCAGCAGGAGAGCATCACCTGAAATGGATCCCAGGAGAACACTGCTTTTTATGTGTTTGTAGACATACTCATAGCTCTGAGATTTGAGTGGTGATCCTGTAGACAGGATAGTGTGAAGTGTCTGGAGATTGTGTGTTTCACCTTAAAGAGGAAGAAATCCACAAAATACATTAAGGTAGAATGTTTACATGAGTTTGTAATTATTTGTCACTACAACCCAGAACTTAATTACATAATAGATTTTGCAACAAGATATGGGGCCAAAACTTGGAGAGGAAAAGTAGGAGGGAGGATAGAAGAGATTCAGTAGTTTTTTTGAAGCTTACATGGTTTTAAATTTTTCTCTTCCAGCACAGCCAGCCACTTTGCACCCGTTCCAAGGATGGTGATCCTAGAGGGAAAAAAGTGTAAATGTTTTGCATATTTAAATATGCTAAGACTTAACCTGCAATTCCCACTGCAGTAAGCAGAGGCTTTTAGACTCTGTACATTGATTAGTCAAGCAATGCAGTCTCTTAAAGCTTTCTGAGTGCAAGGCACATCCTTTTGAGCAATCAAAATTAGTCAGATCACATGTCATTTCTGCAGCTTTGAAACTTTTAAGTCTATCTTTAAATATTAAGCAAAGCTTCCCCACTTCATGGAAAATGTTCACTTTCATTTACAGGGATTCTTAACTGCAGAACACTCAAGACATCACAAAATGTTACACCATTTACTTCATTAATGGGCTATAATTGCCACTAAGCTGTTTAACACAAAACTGCCACCTTGTTACACTTAAGACACAAAAATTTTGCCATTTCAGGGCAGTTTAACAAAAATACTTTACTCTGAGGACAGTAGCCAGTGATTTCTCTTAGATAGCTTCTCCACTGATGAAAGTCTGAGTTGCAGGTGCTTAACTACACATGAAATTTGGCCCAGCTAATGGAACAACTGAATTCTGCCCTTGCAAAAAATGTATTTAGAGCTCTCCAGTAACGTAATTTAAACTGGAGGGGAAGGCTGCAGCCCTTCACTAGTCTGTCAATGGAAGTGCTAGCTTAATGCTTGTGCTGACTTTCAGGAAATCCTCTTCCCTGCCTCCTGCTAATTCATTTTATATTACAGCAATAAACTCACTCAAGACAATGCATAGAGACAGATAAGGAAGTATAAGGGATGCAGTCTGAATGCACAGAATACAGGCAATACATCCATCAGAAAAGCTAAAATAAGATCCTCGTACTCCAGAAGCAAGATCAAAGGCAGAACAGCTCCTGGGATATTAGAGTTTCAGAAACTAAGAGGGGTTATTTCAACACTGCCAGAAGGGGATGTCCTCCCTTGCCATTCAGGACAGCAGTTACCAAGAGGCTGCCACCTCTGGGGTAGGGCCAGTGATGGGCTACCTGCACAAACACTGGTGCCCAGAGCAGTTCAGCAGGTACCTGAACAGCCCTGTGAGTCCACAGAAGATACTGCTCCTCCAGCCAGCACGTACCACCACCACGTGAGCCACTGCTACCCTTGTGTAATATCTTACTTGCCTCCTGTGCTTCAAATTAGTGCTTATTTTACAGTTAGAATATGTAATGCTTCTGTTTATTTTTAAGCTCTTTGACACTTCCTCTACAGCACATGTAGAGCCCAGTCTGCTATTATTTCCTTCCAAATGCTAAATAATCAGTGGATGGTGACTAAATACAGTTCACTTCAACAGATCTTTAACTGATGTCCACTTGAGACATTCTTGTCATGCAGAAGCATTGAGATATCTTGATGATACTGGAAGAATATGCTATCTGAAGGGAAGTATGGTACATCTTCAGAGAAGTAAGGTACTCTTAACATGTTGAAGCCTTTTTTTTTAAATATGTAACATATGACTGAGCTGGGAACAGACTGCATTATGAAGTACCACACAGATGGCCACCACTTTTAGCACCAGATTACAAAAGTGAGACATGCAGACACATTTCAGTTATCTTCGCTTGCTTTTGGCATGTAGAAACAATGCTTAAAAATAAGCTGTTTTTTTCTTGGTTCTATATTTTTGCCTGTTCTACTGGGGCTTTTTTGGGGGGGGAATAGGAGGTGTCTTAAGTTTGCATTTTTGTTTTGTGTTGGTTTTCTTATTGGAATTATTCTGACTAGACATCAAGCTTCAATCACAGTAGCCAGGGAAAAAAATGTCAATTTTAAAATATTTTATGTCACAAAAGACAGTGAACTTTAAGTTATTTGCTATCAAGATTCACAGAGAGAACCTTTTGACATCTACTTTCCACCACAAGTGAATTAATTGTAACTATCCATTAAAAACTCCACTCATTCTACCAGTAATACCAGATTTACTCCTTACATGAAGTTGGCAAAATAGGAAACTTACAAAAAAACCAAATCATAGAGTTTGGGTTGGAAGGGACCTTTAAAGCTCATCAAGTCCAATTCCCAGCAGTTTGCAGGGACATATTCTACTGTATCAGGTTGGTCCTTTGTACAAAGTTTAAGCTTTCTACAAAGCTAAACACCACGACAGGATTTTACAGCCTGTTCATCTGACACCTGCCATTTCTCTGGGCTTCAAGAGAGGGCACTATGTGCATTTTTAGGGACAGAGAACAGTGTAAAACAATTAACAAACAGCTTGACAGGGAGAATTGGCCATTGCAGATTAAAAAGCAAAATAAGAAAATAAGCAACCCTGCTGAGCCTTTCCAGCCAATGCATGTGTTTGTCAAAGTGCTATATTAAGTCTTATGTCGAGCTGCTTGAAATAAAGCATTGTTATTTTCTAAGTTCTGAGTGTGCTGAGAAATGGCTCTTCAGATTGCTCCCAATTACTGCCTTTTGAAAAGGCTGCTCTTGAAAACTGACTATTGAACCAAAATTCTCTTTGTCTAGAATCCAAACACTTGACTGAAGTTTTAAACAATCAGCTCTTTGTCTTTTCTGTTCTCTCTCAAAGACTGTTTCAGCACAAAATTAAGAAGTAGTTCCACTTCAAGCTAAGACAGAAGATAAACTGTGCCATGCTACACACTAGTTTCTGAGCAAGGGAACAGACTCTTTGATGAGGTTGCTCATACATGGTCATCCTGACAGGAGCAAAGACCACCATCCTTCCATTTAATGTTGTTTACATACCCTAGTCTGTCAGTCAAGTCCCAGAGCACATTTGGTGATGGAATTAGAGGAGATCCATCATACAGGACCACTGAAGCTCCTGTAGCAAGTGCAGTCACTAACCAATTCCACATCATCCAGCCAGTCTGGAAATAAGAAGATACCCACATTAGTTTGTGTCAGCTAGCTGTCTGCTTTCCTGGCAGCTCTACCACCAGCTCAGGAGTGTGCTTGCTGTCCTGTGCTGGTAGAGGAGCTACAGGCAACTAGAAAACAGAGAGGTGTAGACCTTGGCAGAATCACCTGGACCAAGGCATGCTCCATGCCCTTATGCAAGAGATACTGTCTCCCCCTCTGTTTTCCTTGCCCAAAGCTTTCCTGCTTTAGAGAAACTTAAACCAGCACCTGAGTTTATGCCCAGCTCTGCTGATTGTATCTATTGATAGTACTTAGGAATCAGAAAATAAGGCTTGAGTACTGCTCATCCTCTCACCTGTCCCAAAACTGGATCAGCTACCTGTTCCTGATGGTTGTTCATTGAACCTATCCTGACAAAAACTAATGAGATGGGGATTCCATACCTCCATATACATTCCTTTAAAGCATGAGCTAAGAGCAATGACAGCTTTGGGATAAAGCAGTTATGACAACTCTTTCACAGAGTTATTTCAAACTGACAAGTAAATGCAAGTTCAGAAAGGAACTATTGAGGAAAGACTTCAGCCTTCTCAAAGCTTTATAGTAATAGAAGAATGTGGAATAATTTTTACCACAGCACTAGAAAAAAAAAAATCACACCATAACTGAACTCCTACATAGATCAGTTTTATTCCCTCTTCTTTACTAAGCCTAGAGTTCTGCAGGTTCTTTCCTCCCCATCAAACTAGAGACAAATTCTCATCTTCAGTACAGCCAAGCCTCACATGATGCAGGAAGGTAGAGCCTGTTTTGCAGGTGATATTCATGAGGCAGATCAATAAACCTGAGACTGTAAAAATCAATCCATTTTCCTCACTAATTAGATCAGAAACATTTAACATGGCTTTGACTTTTCATCAGAAAGGTCTCTGTTGCATTTTATTATTCCACCTGAGTTTTTTTTTTTAAACACAGTTAAGTAGGACTATCCATTGTAGAACCAGAATTAAAAATACATAA